TCCAGAGAAACTAGAGRATTTTTCGCTTTGAAGCTCTACGAGTTACTTCTAGAGGCTCTTAACAAGCCCTGAATAACAGGTTCAGGAAATAAACAGAAGAGAGTTATGTTTAGCATCTTGGGACAAATGTTGGAGTGTTAAAGCTTCCTTTCTCCAGCCACGTACTTTGCATTTAAATTCTGTTTCTTTRGAATACTAGATGGGGGATGTGGAGGAACTCCATACTTAAGTACTGCATAATAAATATGCAAGCCTGGCTTAATTCCCTTCTGCAAATTCTTGGTGGATACCATCGACTAAGTTCAAAAGCTAAAGACTTTACACTGTGAGGTGTGCAGGAGTGCAAAGCTGGTCTAACACACGGTGCTCTGAAACTGAGCCTTAATGTGCAGAACTTTTACTAGTGACCTTCTGTAGTTGATGAAAGAAAAAATTCTGTGGTCTTCRTTGGGTTTGGCTGAAGCCTCCAGTGAGAAGAGAGTTACAGAAATCAAGTAAAGGCTTTTTAAATGCACCCAGGGGAGTTAGGTGTCCAACTCCTTTTGAAATTCAATAGGATTTAGTTGCTTGGGACCTTTGGAAAATCTCAGCCTGAAATTGCAGGCCTGCAGTGTTCTTTATTGGCCCCAGTGCTGTTGTCCTGTGCGCCCGGCCCTGATGTAGGGAAAATAGGAAAGCTGCAGCACCATGAACAGCTTTCCTGTATTCCACCTTATACTAAACTTCTCTTTTTTAAAAAATGAATGTTCTATGTGAATACTATTTCATCCTAATTAACAGGATTAGTAAGGGAACATTGCTGATGTCCCATATAAACTTAGGCTTCATTATGGGCTCTGAAGACAGAAGTGTGATATTAGTGTCTTGTGTTTTGTTTTCCCTTGCCTGTGTAATCCTTTGGTGCTAAATATGTCAGGTGAAGAATGTTCACAAAAAAGCTGAGGCTTTTGAAAGCAAAGGCTCAGCATGAGTCACTAAATGTTTTGGTTTTAAACTTTTTTTTTTAAAAAGCTTAACATTACTGGTTTTAGCTTGGAAAGGTTGGCTGTAAGATCTCTTGAAGTGAGAAGAGTTAAGTAGGGAAAAGATCCTAAGTAGAGCGTTTGGAACTTGCTGATGCTCAGCAAGRGTTGGTATATGAAACCCGTTAACTTTGGTTTTGACTGATACTTCATCAAAGTGGGGTTTTTACGGAGTTTTGTGTCCCTCTTTGTCTGTTTGCCTAGGCCATCTGACTGTAGTTGTGTGTCTTGGAGACCCCAGCACATCTTGCGGGGGCAAATCCCACCTTTCTCAGTAGAACAAAGCGGGGCCTCCCTGTACAAAGTGGGTGACACCAGAAGAACCAGTTGCCTTTGGTGCTGGTGATTTGCAGGTCTGCTCAGGCTGGACCAAGCGCTGCCTGAGGCGTTTTGCAAGCYGCGATGTCTCAGGTGCTCAGCTGATCTCGTTGCCTCTCTTGGCCGCTTCAGAGACCCCGTTGTGAAGAGCCCTGAATGGAACCATCCCAACTACTGCAGTCCCCGAGTGCTGCTGTGGATGGGCGAGAGGAGGCTTATCTTCACTGCCTGCTGCTGCTGCCCAAGCTCTGTGGTCCTCAACTGCTCGGTTCAATACCATCTTTGAGGCCAGAATCTGGAAGGACTGCTTGTTACCTTGGTAGTCGTGTGGTGGTTGATCTGATGAGGCTTTGTGTAATAGAGCTTGGAACATGACCGAGGCMATGGGAGCTGTGTTGCCAGTAAAACTGTGGGATGGCAGGGAATTCAGATGGTGCAAACATGATAGTAAGAGGCCCAAGATAAGCCCYTCGTCAGGTGTTCCTGTGCTTATCTCCATTCCCTCTGGGAGCAGACACCTCTAAGGAGTGAAGAATACCCTGTACATTGTCCTCAGTTCTTGGAAGTTGGAGAGCTGGAGCTTTTATGTGGTGCACCTGGTAGGTACCTCTTAAGCAGCAGATAAGGTAATTTAGGAAGAGCGGAGCAGATGGACGTGCAGCACAGCTCGGATTTGCTGCAGTTCGCAGGTGTGAGACGGTGCTGTCAGGGTCACACTTTGCCTCTTAACTGCAATTGCCCCCACTTACCACCACCACCCCTGCCCTGTGGACGAGGCCGCCATCCTTCCCGTTTATGTAAGATTTGATGTTTAGCTGTTGAGGAGGATCATACAGGGAATATCCCAGCAGCCTGTGCAAACATAATGCTTTTTTTAAAAAAACGTGTTGCCACAACTTTCTGGCCAGTGATATAAACATGCACTGAGAGAAGTTCACCAGCCTCTCCCCCCCCCTCTTAGGAGTAGCKTTTAGACTTGAGCAATGCAAGGTATTAAAAACGCTTTGCTGTCGCCCAGCCACGGGCAGAGGAGGCGGAATTTGCCAGTTGCCAGTGGCTACCTGGTGGGTTTGTGTAGGACCACGAGGAACAGCTTGTGCCCTTTCACCCCGATGTTCCCTGAATGACTCGGGTCTCATTTAGGTCAATAAGCCTTTCTCGAAACGTCAGGAGTGAAAAATGTGCCTTGGTGTCAGCCGACCGGTTGCTCCCTCCAGTCACCGGAGTCTATAGGACAATAAATGTTCCCTGAGCTCGTCTGCGTGGCCCGCACAGAGCCGGGTGACAGTGACCATTGAGGGCCTGTCTGTCACATTGTCCAGGGRCAGCCCCTGTGTGCAGGGTGCCACTGTCCCGGGCACCCCATGGACCATGGAGGGGCTCCGAGCACGCACGCAGCTCRGGTGCGAATGGCCCACGCAGGGAACACACGCGACTGCCTTTCTTTCCTTATTTATTGTTTATTTTTTGCTTTTCAAGAATTTTGTTTTGCTTTTAGGGACATCTGACCAGTATTGCCTCTACCGACGCGTATCACGTCAGGCCACGCATTCCTCGCTCAGATTGCTTGGGCTGAAGGACCCTTCCTGCTCCCTGTGATTTTGCTGTTGTCTGTTGTCGAGGGAGTGTTGAAAGAAGATGCGTTTGCCCTTTGCAACAAGGGTGTTTGGATGCACAAGAGTGTTYGGATGTTAGTTTACTGAAAACAGCTGGGAATCAAATACAATCTCCTGATAGGAAAAGCCAGCCTCTGGTGCTTTGTTTTGCTTTAGTATATTAGCAGAACCACATGCAAAACCACATACAAAGCTGTATTCTTAAGAATTTGCACCGCCTGATTTGGTGCAGGTTCCTAAATGGCATTAAATTAAGTTGAATAAAGGAGAAATTGCACTGCATGAAGCTGATTGCATGCAAAGCTTCATTCATAAGACAAGGTTTTTCCTTAAAGCATCTACTATMGCTGGTCTTTCGATAGGTTTTGTAAGTGTCACTTTGCTTCTCTGAAAAATATTTAATAACACACCAATGTAAAAAATCCAGAAGGGTTTTGCAGGTTTCTTTTGGGGGAAAAAAAAGCTGTGGAAGAGATTCTCGGCTGGGCCGAAGGGGTTGGGTTTCATATTTATGACACCCAAGGATCTGGACAGTTTCACTCTGTCTCGGAAAGCAGCTCCAGCGCGGTGGCTGTAAACAGTCCTGAGGGCCTCACGTCTGCTCGCCCAGATCACGAGGCTGCCAAGGCCAAGAGAGAGGGCCCTGGCTAATGTTCTCCTGGCTTTCCAGAGCGTCCGGGGCCTCGCTTYGGGAGGCTGAAGTGAGCAGGTCGTTAGGCCTGACGGAGGCTGCAGTTCGAGCCGTGGAAAGGTCGTCGGGACACAGTGGGGCAGTTCCTCCCCAGAGCTCCCTTGGTTTTGGTCCACGTCCCTGTTATTTTCCTGCCTGCTCCAGGCGCTGTCCCATGTGTTTCTGAAGCTGATAGTGTGGCTCTCGTTGGGCTCAGTTGGGCTAGGCTTGCATCCAGAGCAATTCGCTTAATTTRGGAAATAAGCGTAGGTGCCATCATGAGACCCACTTGCCAATTTGTTGCCGTGAAAAGCAGCGGTGAATATTGCAGAAATGTGACAATGCTGGATAAAATGTTAATTTGCCACCATGTCATCTTCTCAACAGTCGCTCTTTGTATTAAATCACTCAGTGTAATGAGCAGCTTGTTCCCTTAATCTGCATTATCCTTTCTAACTGCAGAACGTTATGATTAGCTTCTCTGCTTTACAATTCCCATATGCCATGTGTTGTGTGCRTTGGGTTGCAAGCCACAGTTACTGCTCCAATTAGTAGTTTCCCCTGTGGACTTGGACAGAGAATGTGACCACTTATTAATTGAGTATGGCTGGTCAGGAAGCCCTGCACCTGCTTGAGGGTGCCGTGATCGACCCGTCGCTGGAGAAGCAAGCTGCATCTGAGCATTAACCGAGCTCCAAACTGCCCTGGTTGGACCTCTCTCTAGTCAGGAGGGGTGTCAGATGTCTTGCACATTTATGGCTCTTTGCACACATTTTCAAAGTCATGCATTTGGGTAGGTCTGTGGTAAAAACCCAACTGCGCTTGGCTTAAATAGGAGAGGTGTGCGTGATATTTTCCCCCATATTTTCAATGCATCTGGAAGCTGACCTTTCAGTAACGGTGCCAGAAAAGTTACTTTAATCCATGTGGGATTAACCAAAGATTGAAGAAGTGTAAGTGGTTGGTTCAGCTGGTGTTGCAGATGGAAGGTCAAGCACACCTCTTTGGGATGAGACGAGCTCACGACATCTTCCTCTCCTGACTATGGGCTGCGCTTGTTTTTCTTGGCTCGGTCAGGACACTTTCTGTTTGAATTACAGAGGCCAAGTAAATTGGCAGAATGCTTTCTGTTTTAGCACGTGTAGACGAGCCAAACTGCACGCAATTATAGTATTTAAACTTGCTCTTTATCTTTTGTTGCTTTATGCTTGCYGCTTTTCCTATGTTATTTTAGATCATTTTAATATGGTAACATTTTGTCTTCTAAGGTTTGCATTTTATTTTCTCTTTTCACTGATATATTCTGGAGAGGGGGAAAAAAAGATGAAAGTTGTAAGTCGAAAATTAACCTGGTTGCCTGTCTGCTTCTTTTAGGAAATCGTTTTAGTGGTATTCTTTGGAACTGAGTACGTGGTTCGGTTATGGTCAGCAGGATGCCGCAGTAAATACGTCGGAGTGTGGGGAAGGCTTCGTTTTGCTAGGAAGCCTATTTCAATCATTGGTGAGTATGCACAGCCTGCAGAGTTGCCCTAAACGCCGAGTCAAAGTCATCGCTGGGAGGTTTGAGAAGTGGAATTTCCACAGCAGCTGCGGCCAAGTTAGAGCAGGAGACTTGTCACCAGTGTTTATGTACCTCTGAATTGCCCTTGAGGAATCCGTGGCGCTGTCACTTGATAGCAAACGTGGCTTGGTTTGCTTTTCCAGAAGGGCCGAGTGTTTTCTTTYCAGAAGTGATCTGAAGCTTTGCCAGAAATAACCCTTGGCCATGGTCTTATCTCCTGTGACTTCAGCATCCCAGACATTGTGCAACAGCTACAACTTTGTTTTTGAAAAATACTGAAGGCCTCTTTTTCTAGCATCCATCCATTTGAATATTGTAGTRTGAGTTTATTCACCACTCTAACTGCCTGCTACGTGGGGGAGTGTGACAGGTGTGCTGTTAGTATTTTGGGTAACTTTGGGGTTAAAATAGAATTTTCAAAGATTCATTTGGAAATGGGCACCTGACTCGGCTGTCAGTGTCAGTCAGATGTCAGTGTCCTCACAAACTGCATCTGTTACGCTGTGCATATCACAATCCATATATTTTGTTTCCGAGTTAATGTCCAGAGTTCAACAGATTTTGTCTTAAAAAATGTAACCACCCGAATCAGGCTGTATTTTGCTAGCCAGTATTTTAAGTGTTGTGTAGGGACTTGGATTTCTTGCAACACCAACCTTGAAACACTTACCTGATGTGTTCGATTTGTTTTTATTGTAGGGGAAGCAGGACGTTGTTACACAAACACGTAGCCTTTGATCTGTCACAGTTTATTTCTACTACTTCTATTTCTGCTACTCAGCAATACTGTTTGTCTTCTGTTCTTCATAAACCCTGTACAATTTTTCTGACTGTAAATCATAAAATGTTGTACTTAGGTATTCTTAAAAGCATAGTTTCTTTAGTTTAGCTTGCCCGTGCATATATATAATAACAAATATATCTCAGATGTTACTGAAAGTATTAAATGGCTTTGGCTGCCTCTTTGCACTCTATCCACAAATCTATTTCTCTTGAGACCTACAGCAATACAGATTCTGAAGCATCTTCCCATTGCCTTCAGCTTGGGTAGCAGAACAGACTTCACCTTTACCACATACGTAGCAAAAACTCCCATTTTTGTTGCTCATTTCCAAAATCAGCTAAGCTAAAGCAGGGAGTTTTAATGTCTGTCCTATGGCAATGACTAATAGCATAAATGATACTCACAGGGTGATTTAATTCTTCTCTCTCTTTTAGACCTGGACAGTTGAAATTMTATAAGATTAAGAGCTTCTGGGAAATAAAATCCCAATCATCTCCCAATAATAAAAGTTTCTAAAGCATCAGAGAAAATAGAAGAGGTAACAGGTAGAAACTGGTGAAATTCCTCTCAGATTATACCTAATATATAACCCAGTCTGCTGAAACTGTTTTATAGTAACTCGTRTCACTCATGACTAAACTAGAATCTGGCCCTCTCGGTCCTATGCTAGCCTTTCTGTTATGTTGCACAGCTGTATTTTTCTTATTTATTACACTGAAAGTCTCTTGATACAAACCCCCAAATTTCAGAATTCAAAATATTAAAGTAATATAAGCATTGGTTCTAGTAATTTTGCAGAAGTGTTGAAAGATACCACTAATTCTTCTTCTTCTTTTTTTTTTTCTTTTTTTTTGCAATTGACTTTTATTTTTCAGATTTAATTGTAGTTGTCGCTTCCATGATAGTTCTTTGTGTGGGCTCTAAAGGCCAAGTCTTTGCAACCTCAGCTATCAGGTAATTATACCCTGTAAAAGAAAAATAAGACAGTGCTGTCAGTTTGAATAAGCTTTTATCTTGTCTCTTTTTTTGCCTCCTGTGACAATTCCAACAGGTGGAAACCAGATCACATATGAATGTGCAACACTAATCCCGTTAAGTTTCTTGGACTAGTTTTATGGTTGCTCTTTCATACT